GCGAGAAGCTCGACCTCGTCGAAAGCCTGTTGCACGTCGCCGCCGGCGACGGCCCGGCGTCATCGTCCGAGGATGGCAGCGACATGGAAGACGATGTGTACATACCAATGCCAAGTCACGACCAAGCGCAAGTGCTGGAGCGCGTGGCCAAGCTCACTGTTGAGCTCCAGTACCAGATCGCGCTCGGCGCAGACGTGCCGTCTGTCCAGGTACCTCATCGATGATCGATGGAGCGTGTGACATGGTGTGTTTTAGGCCGAGGAGCCCCGCATGTCGGCCATCGAGCGCGTGCTGCGTGAGAAGCTCGAGGTTCGTCCGCCGCCATCGGGTCGTAGCCGAAGCATGCGTTGTATCAATAGGCAGAGCTCGCGACCGAGATCGTGCCCGACTCCTTTTACGCTCGCGATCACGTCATCAACGTCACCAACGTCAACCGGCTCTTGCGCGCCTACGTGGCGCTTCAAGAGACAGCGGTGCCCGAAGAGATGGTCGGGCGCCTCCTCGTGCAGCCTTTTTTGGACTCGACAATGACGCGGTCGCGCTTGGACGGCCGGAGTCGCGGGTCGTGCGAAGGCCTCGGCAGCATCTACGCTGCGATACTCGAGTTTGTCACCAAGACGCTCGGTGGCGTCCTCGCGCTGCCTGTCTGCCAAGGCCCGGCCAAGAACTGCGTCGACCTCCTCACGCAGTCGGTGCGTGCATATATCTGCAGCATCTACTGATCCAATGCGCAGGTCTGGAAGCCCGTGTCGGCGACGCTCTGCGAGAAGCTGCCCGAGATCTTCGTCGCGTACAACCCCGACCGCATGTACCACGTACGATATATCTTGCATTGCACTATGGCATTGAAAGCGGCTTGCGGGGCTAGAACTACTCCGCGTCCACAAACTTTCTCTCGTCGCTCGAAGCGCTGTGTACCTCGGGCGAGGCGCGGACTCGGCTCCGGCTCAGCGCCGCACCGTTTTACGACAAATGGAACCTCGACGTGTACTACCAGCTGCGGCACTCGGAGCTGACGCAGGCGCTGTCGACGAGCTTTGGGCAGCGGCCGCCCGACGCGACCTTTCTCAACGAGACGCGGATCGAAGAGTTTGTGTTTCCATCGGCCAAGCAAGTGGCGCTCTTGGCGCGCAAGTGCTTTCGCGACGGCGTTTTGCTGGACGCACAGACGCCCAAATTCGCGCGTCTCAGCCTCGAGCTCGTTGCCGCGTTCGTTCAGTACTGGCAGCCGCCGCTGACGACAGCACAGCGCCTCGCCGCGGAGAAGGAGAGCGGTGTTTTTGGCACCGTCAACCACAGCTGCGTGGCGTCGGCTGACGATGTCTTTGCATGTGGCAACGATTTGCACCGACTGCAATCTCTGGTGAAATCGCGGAGGCACCATATGGTGATTGACCGCACTCGGTCTAGATCGCGTCGGACCTCGTGCCAGAGTTGCGCCGTCGCCTGACACATGCAGTCCCATCCGAGGAGGCAGGCGTGCTGGCCACGTCGCTGCTAGCGCAGGTACCCTTCTGCGTGTTTGAACAGGTGCAGACGGCCTAGGTCCTAGTCGCTAAACAATCTCGCTGACCTCGAGGCGATCTGCTGGGACATTGCCGCCAACCTCGTGACGGACGACTGCATGAAGCTGCTCCCCGCTGTTCGGTACCGACCCTCGCGCTCGTGATCGTTCTATCTCACACATTCCACTAGCACCATCAAGGGCCAGTACCAGATGACCAACAAACCAATGCCGTCAACGCCGTCGCTCTACGTGCCAACGATCGTCAAGCCGCTTGAAAGTTTCTTGACCAAGTGGGGTGCACCGCTACGCGACAATAGCGGGTTTGCCCAGCGTGTGCTCTTTGCGACCTGCAGCACGTACGCGTCATTGGCCTTGGAGCTGCTCAAGTCGGCGGCCGAGCTGGAAGAATCGTTGAAAAGCCGCAAGCGTGCCTCCGTAGGCATTTCCGCCGCCTGCAAGACCATTTCATATGTCTCGGTGTAGACGGCGACAACCCTCGATGGTGTGTCCGACACGGACAAGATGCGGCGCCAGGTCGAGCTCGATATGCTTGAATTTGGACGGTGCGTTCTTGATACCTTGATACTTTTAGGCCGGAATAGATGGTGTCTCACTGCATGGGACGATGTTAGGCTCGCACGCGCACTGCACGTCGAGATGGACAAGTGCGACGAATACAACGCCATCTTGTGTCACGTGGAAAGCGCGTAAAAGCCTACAGGGTCGTCTTGTTCGTATATTCCTTGACCTCAACGTTGTTTGGATACACTGGATACCGCCAGCAATCGTCAAATGCACTGCTTTGTTTCTTTTTTGTCATGCAAACCAATGCCAGCAACCTCGCTAAACACGTACCAGGGTCGTGCTCGGCGCCACTTTTCAAGCTGTCGTTGCTTCAGCCGCTGGTCCAATCGCTCCAGAGGTGTACAGCGACGAAGCCCGGCAGGTTCTTGAAGGCGTTGAATGGTCGCGTCCTCGACGATCGAGGGTTCGAAGCCCCCTGGCACAACATATATTGTTGTCTCGCAGCAACAACACGAGGAACGCACTAAACGTGTCCACGCTGCTGGTAAAAACGACAGCTCAAAAATCCACTGCACGCTTCGCAGCGCTCGTCGGCTCCGGATCCTGCACCGCTAGATAAATACAAAATACTACGAGCTCCTACGTCGTCTACTTCGGTAGCACGGTCGTTTGTGGTGGCGAGACGAGTCGAAGCTCCGTCTGCCGTCCACGCGACCGGGCGTGGCCACGGAGGCACTGGACGAGCGCTTTCCATATGCGCTCGGGGTGGTGCTGGAGTGCGGCGAGAGCTCGCATCATACTGCGATGGTAGACCGCAGGCGACATCATCTTGGCGACGACGTCGAGGCCTTCGAGCACGGGCAGGACACACGTTAAGAGGCGTTTCGGCTGGCGCTCCAGGTGCGCGAACGGTGGCACGAAGCTCGGGCGCTGCTGCTCGCTGCCGATCGGGCTATCTCGAGCGTCGAGCGTCGCCAGGAAGTCGCTGGTCGCCTACCATTGGGATCGAAAGGCGACATCATCGGGAGAATAGGGCGCACCAGCACAAGAGGTGTCTCCGCCAGCAACGACGTTGCCGGCGCAGAGGTTGCTGGTGGTACAATGTGTCTCCGAGGGCAGCTTCCGCGTTCACAGGTGGCGCTTGACGGGGCGCGACTGCTGCCTGCCCTGGGCGCATCCCGACTGGGAGCCACGGAGGTACACCGTCGTCGGGACTGTCCTCGTCGTCCGAATCGGCATAGTCGACGAGCTTCTTGCGTTGCTTGATGGCGTCTGACGCGGCCTCGCTCGCGCGGTGCTTTGCTGAGCGTGTTTTCGCCGCCGTCATGCCGCACGCCTGATGCGAGCTGCTCCTACGAGGCAGTGTTTGCATTAAGCAGGCAATAGAGACGGGTACGTACGCGATGCTCCTCTGGCCAAGACGGGCGAAGGCCGCTTCGTCGTCAGGTAGCGTCTCGATGCAAGCCAGCACTGCCGATTGGTCGCTCTCGAGCTCGGCACGGCGCGAGAGCTGTGGGTCTCGCGCGGCTCGGACTTGAAGCTCGTCTGGCTCGTCCGCGACTTGAGCGTCGTCGTTCGCGCTGCTGTGGCGAGGCGACGCGTGGACCGAGACTGCACAGCTGAAGTCAAAGCCTCGGGATGAGCGCGGTGCTGGCGGCGACTCCGGCGCTTCTCGCGTCAAGCAGGCGGCAGTGGGCTCGATGCTTGTCGGGTTGCTGTCGTTTTGGCGAATGCAATCTCGACGATCACAATACATTAATCCGGACAAAATTGGCCAATCAAAATCAAGTAAAATTTAGTAAAAACCAACCACGCGCCAACAGCTCGCGCCAACAAGCATCGATTCAAGCCAATCCAATGGAGCTCGATCTTTCCGGATACAAGACCTATGAGTGCATCAAGTTGAAACTCTTTTTGGTGGCGCCAAGTCCCGTGTGCACGCAGCTACCGTTGGTCAGCGTATCGAGGACGTCCTCACAGCGGCAGCAGGACTTTTATTGAATGATGATCGCCGCCATGCTACGATCCGATTCGACTCTCTTGCCCAGTCTCGATGTGTTGAAGGCGCGGTCATTAGCGACGAGATACCCGTGCAGGTCCAACACCAAGGCACTTGAAAGCTCTTTCTGCAGGCACGTAGAGCGGCTGTTGCTGTGTGTCGCCCGAGTGCACGTGACATCCGGGAACTCAAGGCCGATGCAACATGTATGCA